TGTGTATGTGTGCATGCTGGTGGTGTGTATGTGTGCATGCTGGTGGTATGTATGTGTGCATGCTGGTGGTGGTGAGGCACATGCTGCAGTGATACTATGGAGGTGAGAGAACAAACTCGCTCTTACAAGGTTCTCTTTTTCATTTCTGCATGAGTTCTAGGGACTGAGCTCAGGTTTTCAGGTTTTCATAGCAAGCACCTTTCCTGATGAGCCATCTCAGCAGCCCAACACACCTTTCTGTGCCTACCAAACAATTACGCATTCACTGTTATACACATGGCGCTGGAGATACTGCACAGCAGTTAAGAGCATCGGCTGCTCTTCCAGAGGACCTGGGTTCAAGTCCCAGCACACGGAGTCTCACAAACGTCTGTAACTCCTGTACCAGGAGATCTAGCACCCTCTTCTGGCTTCTGTAGGCATGGCACTCAAACGGCACACACATTCCTTCAGGCAAAACACCCATACAAATTTTTTTTAAATGAAAACATTTTTTAATGCCATGTTAGTGAGAATACATATTCTCACTATGTAACATACTTAAAGTTAGTAACATATTTAAATTTTTTTCAATTACTGCGTTAATGTTCCTTTCAAGAGAACAATCTAAGAGTTTTATGACATCATATCAAAGACACCTTCTATGAGGCAATTGGTCAAATACAAATACAGCTCCCTACAGGAAAGATGATCAATATGAAAGCGTCTGGGGCAAATAAATAGAGACAAGGAGAGAAGTTTCATGATACACTTGCAGAAAACCAGTTCTATATTAACGTGTAATTTAGAAAACATAAAAAATTATAGATGAACAGATTCAGGAAAAATCAAAGACTAGCAGTAGATTAAGGCATTTTTATATAACAGAAAAATGATATTCAAAATTTGATAGTATTTTAAAAAAATACTCATTGGTGACATTTCTCCATTATATTAGAAGGAACAACTTCTAGAATATTTTCTTAATAATCAGAATCACAGGAGTAATGGCTCAGAATAGCTGGGGAGGATCAATGCTAAATATGAATCTATGCATTCATCTCTTAGTTCCATAAGCAAACACTGATTACTGCCAGCCCTACATTATTGATAAGGAAGTTCGGTTACAGAACAGCTAAGTCAATTTCATGAGATCACCAACCTGAAACCAACAGGTTTGTGTGTGAGGGTTATGAAGCCAGGGCTGTTTACTTCACTTTGCAAATAAAAAAGATTACTGCAAGGCCAGTACCTACACGGAGAGCGGAGGATGGAGTCTGTGCGTACCATTGAGTGTGGAAAGGCCTGGCTCTGAGGTGTGCTTGATAAGCAAGGCCAGGCTCCAGCCCTTCCTGGACAAGTTCACAGAGGACTTAATGTGCTTTCTAAAAGAATAAATGATGAGACCCAATTCCCTTTAGTATCTAGACATTAAAACAGTAGATATAAAATAATATAGATGGGATGTGCTTGGAGAAGCCTGGCAGAGGCCTCCCTCCAGAAAAGTCATTGGCATCTGGAAGGCATGGATATAGCCCCATCCTGTAAGTAGCGAGCCAAGGTCCTCTCTCAAACTAAAACTGGGCTCTCAGAAAGAAGAGATTTTAAGAACATACTCATGGTCGATCCAGCCACAGACATGAACTGGAGGTAGACCTTGGAAAAAGCAAATTAATCCAGATGTGGTGATGCAGGTGTGTAAGCTCAGAACACACTCAAGACCAAAAGGCAGGGGGAGCAGAAGTTCACTGTTATCCAACTACACAGCAAGTTCAAGGTCAGCCTGGGTGGTGCGAGACCTCCCCCGCCCCCACAATGTTAAAAAAAGACAAGGAAAGCAAAGGATAAACAGAACAAGGCATGAAAGATGGTCTATTCATTTGCCAAACTCTGCCGAGAACTCTAACGCTGGGCTCAGCAGTTCAGGAGAGGTGTGTTCATGGTTGAATCAAGTGGTGCAGACTTATCAGCTCCTGCTCTCCAGACAACCACTGCTGAGTGAGAACAGCAGGAGAAACCGGAGCATTAAAGCTTGTGTGAACTGAGCACCATAATGAAATGGACCCGAAGAGTTTCCCTTTTGCCCCACTCCAGTGAGAAGTCTTGAACTCACTCATTAATGTTGAGAGGTAAGGAAGTTCTAGGCTCTGCAGCCATAGGCATGTGGGGTCTTGGACATGCCTTGCTTTTAACACGAGAGAAAACATATTCTCACCGTGGCTTCATAGACAAGCCTATCTGAAAGTCAAGGCTATACGCTCGCCTGTGTTTTTGAGTGTCACTACTGGGGATCGCTGGGGTAAAATATAACACCCTACACAAACACCCATGCAGTAAGCACTTGGGTAGAATTCCTCATATTTTGACTGTATTTTCTGCCACCAAGTACTGAAACTTCAACAACAAAGAACTTCATCTCAGAAGAAGTAATATTGGCTAGTTCCATCTAGCACTGACCAGTTAATTTTTGCCAGGTTTTCCAACAAAAGGAGTCATTCTGTAGCCCTGATCTTAAACAGAGTGGACACATTTTCCTTTGTGCTCTGGTTAGAGGCAAAATTGCAGTAATCTTTTCTTTCTCAGCTCAGATGATGAACATCTTCATTCGGTGAACACCGTGGAGAGATGTCACAGGATCGCCTCTAAGTGGAAGATGTCTGGAGATGAGATGTAAAACACGGCGCTCACATCATCAAGGTTTCTTTCATTTGGAGCTTGGATTCCAGATTCAAACTGATGGCAAATAAATAAATAAGTCAGATTTGTGAGATGGTGTTATTAAATGCTGGGCTGCAAAATGACCCGTTGTCTTTTCAAGACACTAAGCTGTTGGCAAACAACCAAGTTCCTCTATAGGCAAAACCATGAATGTGAGTAAGAGGCTTTCCATTAGGATGCCCTTTAGAGATGAGGCCCTTCTTCCCCATTCTCAAGGTACAGTGTGAGTGGGGTCATCATAACATACCTGCAGAAAGAACTTCTGTCCTCTCTGGCTTCTCCATGGTGCCTAGAGAAAGAGAAAGCACTCCTATACCAAGGCACCTCCCTCTTTTAACTCCTTAATGCCCATCTCACACACATCAGGAAATGCTGTGTCCTGCGCAGGCAGCTGGCTGGCAGAGCCCGTCAGGAGTATGGCACACTAAGAAATGTTGGGAAGGTACCGAAGGCAAATTATGGCATTAAGAAATCGTATAACCAAAGTATGTTAAGTACCCCTGAAGGTTCATATTTGCCATGTTTCAGAACGAGAAACCATTACGTCAGCAGGCATTGGTAGCTAACGGCAGTCAGTGTCGGGACTGTAGTGTGTTCCCTCCTAAGCCAGCCAGTCACCCTCAGCCCACCCAGTATTCTGGCTGCAGGTAAACACGTTTCAACTTCTTGTGGGTGGAGGAGTTTGAAGAGTTCATTCCCCTGGACTTCACTGATAAATTTCCAAGCGTATGTTGTGCATGTTGTATAGTGTAGATGAGTAGGGGGGGACATGACATGTGTGCCCAAGTGCATAGAGAACAGAGGCTGATGTCTGCTGTCCCTGTTAACCACGCTTCACATTATTTTAGGTGACAGGATCACTCCCTGGGCTGACTGGACTGGCAGACCTAGAGCAAGCTGCAGTAATTCCCCTCTCAGATTCCCCATGGGGGTTCTAAGCGTGTGCTGTCACGCTTGGCTTTGCCTGGGTTCTGGGGTTTATATGGCAACTATTTTACTGCCATTACATACTTTTAATAATTGATTCATGTGATCATTTTTGTTTCTTCTCACAAAGGATGAACAATTTTAAGTGTGTGTTTAGACAAAGGACGACAATATACTCCAGGAAACGGCGATAGCAGCATGCGCACGAGGCTGTGTGTCTGGGGGAAGGGTTATTACAAAAGGAATTGACACACACCAGTTTGTCAGATCAAGTCCTTGGTAAAGGTGAGCAGGCTGGAGACTACGGAAGAGCTACATCCCTTGCAGGCAGCCTCCCAACAGCAACCCTTCTCGTTTAGGGAGATCAGTATGAAGAACTTCAACTGAGGGAGTAAGGCCTATCTACAAAGACGCAGGACAAACAACTCTAAATCCTGCCCTTTAAATGTGGACCTTCCCAAAGATACTTTCACAGATGCATGCAGATTAAAGTTCGGTCACATGTCTGCTCCAGCCAAGGTGTCAGAAGATTAGAGAGCATGAGCAAGGACATCAAATAGATCACGATCTCACCTCAGCCAGATTTCATCCTAACCACAGGTCTCCACCTGCGTAGCGACTGACAGCGGCTGACTGGCTGAGCTGGTCTGATTGTCCTTGCGAGCCCACTGACGTCTCAAAGGATTACACGTTCTCTTTATAAAAAGGGTTGTACAAAGTTGTAAACGTTAATGTACCGTGCTGCAAATTCCACATAAAGCAGAGACCCCTGGGAATTGCTGCCTGAAGCAACAGCACTCAAGGCTTCTCTACCCGAAGCAGCAGGAACGGGACAGAACAGTCAGGCCTCGGGTAAAACGCCTGTCCTGTCACATCACTGGGTGCTTCTTGACTCCTCAGACCTCCTGAAACTGAGCAAACCTTCAGATGGAAATGGATTGTTGAGGATGCCTGGTGCTTGGCTGCTTAGTGACCTGAAAGATGTTTGGAAATGTAAAAACAAAAAGTTAGCACTATTCAAAGTCCTGGATTAAAAAATAATAATAAAGGGATGAAGACGAGGTCAAGGAAAAGCCTTCCTTTGGAGCCTGAGTTTGCTTGCCTCCCTGGGGAGACACAGACATTCGAAAGCCCTATGCAAGGCTCCTATGAACCTCACTTAAATGGTGGACGGCACTGGATAATGTGTTCAAAGGGGTATTTATTTCTCTCCTCCAATAACATGAAGCCCGGGATTCTGACCTCGAGACCCAAGCCCTCCTGCACCAGGTCAAGTTACATTTCTCCAGAGATGAATGTACGAAACAAGCAAACCTTACTCCTATAAATGACTTCCAGCCAGTGCCAAGGAGGACCGGACTTCACTCTCTTTAACACATACGCAACAAATTATACCAGTCACTAAAATATGAACGACGCTAAACGCAAATAACCTACTAAATGATAATGTATCTCAAGACGCTGCCAGACTCTTGGAACTACTAATTAAACACAGATCAGTATCTGGTGTCACGGCCTCTCCCTGGATGTGTGGGGCATGTCAGGCCGTGGTGATGACTGAAAACTCTCTCCCAGCACAAGAGCCTTTCATCACCCCAGTCAGTGCTGTGGTGAGTCTATCAGGACCACGGCAGCATAAATGTCCTGTGATTATTTGGAGTATTAGCAGTATAATAAAATAGAGTATAATACAATATATATTCTTCCAGAATGATGTGACAAAACCACTGACTTCCTTGATGCCCCCCATGCGTTCATGAAAGGACACTTTAGGATAACTAGATGTCTTCTAAAGACCAAAGTGAAACTAAAACCAAGACTTGGAGGAAAAAGAAAGCACAAAAGAGTAGGAATGTTTCAAGGTCTCAGTTTATTAGAGGAAGATTCTTGGTAAAAGGTAATTTTTGAATAGATGATCTTTTTACACTTTTCAAAGCCAGAGGTTGTGGATAAAATAATATAGCTATTTTTATGACTTTGTGAACAGGCTCCCAGACTCAATTGTAACCTACTAGTAGGCACAATGACACAATTCATTTTTATTGGCATAAATAAACCTTATATTCCTTTTATTTTTCTTGGTCTGATATAAGTTCTCAAAAATAATATTTTCATCACTTTATTTCTGGAAATATAACCAGGATCCTAAATTAACATTTCTGATTTTAAATTAGAGTTTGTGGTCTAGTTAATACTGTGGTTTGAAAAGGTCCCCTAAAGCTCCGTGCTCAGAATCCAATCCCAGGGCAGCAATATTGAGGGGTGTGGCTCCTGAGGGGTGACTATACCTTAAGGGTTCTGCTCTCATGACAATGGGTAACTTGTTATGGGAAGTTGATTCCCCACAAAAGGGTGAGTTCAGCCCCCTGTGCCTCTTCTGTCTTGTCCTTCTGACTCCTAATACCACAGGATGAAACACCAAGAAAGCCCTCCCTAGATACAGTCTACCCAGATCATAGACTGTAAGGAAGACATTTGGGCTGTAAGTTACTGGGTCTCAAGAATCATAGTATAGTAGAAAAACAGTAAGGAAAACTGCTGGTTGTTACTCTTTGTATAGATCCGCTGACAGAAAAAGTTTTTGCTTTTTTTGTTTTTTTTTTGGGTTTTTTTTGCACAAAACTCTTTTCAGGGCTTTAGAAATGAAAATTCACATTTTCATGAATTGGGCTCCAAGGCTAAGCAGAGTACAATAAACTTTTTAAACTATTCCCTATTCAAAGAGCAGCGTCTGTTAGCACAGGCTAGCATAGCTATACAATGAAAGCTGTGCCAGGTCCCACTTTCACACACACACACACACACACACACACACACACACAAAACAACCTAGTTGCATGGTGCTTCTCTTTGACAGTTAATTAGAAAACAGAGATTTTAGTTTAGATAAAAACATTTAAAAGCATAAACTTAAAACTAATTTTCCAATTTCAACATCAGAAAGAGTGGTAATAATTTCTTTCCATTTTAGATGTGTATATATGGAGGTAGGTTAAGATTTCCCTTTAGCTAAAGTTATAAGAATGAATAAAAATTGACATGACTTTCTTCACCTGTTAATATTTCAAGTGGAAAAATAAGTATATCAAGTTGTATGAGAAAACCCAAGGAAAGCCTGCAAGTTCTGGCGTATAAGATCTGGCAATAGCATCGCTGAGGACTGTATAGGAAGAACGGAAAAGGATTCACTTTGTGCTTCACTGGAGTTGGTTTTGTTTGCTTGTTTGATTTTACTCTTTGAGGGCAGAGCTTTCAAATAAATACACGGAGACTTATTCTTGCATATGAATGCCTGACTTTAGCTTGCCTTGTTTCTAGCCAGCTATTCTAACTTAAATCATCCCATTTCTCTTTAACTACATTTTGCCTCTGGGATTTTTACCTTTCTTTACTCTGCATATCTTTCTTTCCTTCTTACTTCATGACTTACTGTGTGGCTGGGTAACCGGCTCCTGGCATCCTCTTCTTCTCTTGCTCCTCTCTCTCTTCCCCAGATTTCTCCTCCTGTTTATCCTCTGCCCGCCAACCCTTCCTATTTCTCTCTTCTGCCTAGTTATTGGATGTTCAGGTCTTTATCAAACCAATCAGGTATTTTAGGCAGGCAAATTAACACAGCTTTACAGAGCTAAACAAATGGAACATAAGAGAATGCAACACATCTTTGCATCACTAAACAAATATCCCAGCATAAATGAATGTAACACACCTTAAGCTAATATTCCACAACACTTACCCAAGCATACAACCTTCTTCAAACTCTACTCCTGACAACCAGACATAGAGCAGTCTCCATCTTAACAATGTCTGCTTGTAATGGCTGTCTCTTCACCTGTTTCCTCTCACCCAAGCATTCACTATCTATCTATATCTCTCTACTTATCTCTTACACACACACACACACACACACACACACACACACACACACACACACGAGTAAGTCACCTTCAGTTCCTGGACACATGTGGTTGTTTCTCTCCCAAGATCTTGATTGGCTGCTAACCTTCATGTAACTTAGCAAGGTGAGTACCAGACTAGGATGACTCTTCAATTCACTGATGATGGTCAGACCCTGAAGTAAATAATATCTTGCCTACATTACTAGGGTAAGTTGAAAGTCAACACCATCACCCAATCTCCTGCTGTCTAATTTTCTACCAAAATGTAATTGTGTATATGAAAGGAAACATTGACTATTACTAACATTTACTGAAATCCTATGTGTACGAAGGGAAACAAATCCATTAGCACCCATATCCTCCATGTTTTACCTCAGTACTCAATTTAGTAGTGAAAAATATAACCACAAACACATTAGAGGAACTGAAGACTGGGTGGGGTCATAGGAGCCTCTCACAAGGTGTCAAGAATTATGATAGCCCAAACATCTTACCATCAACTTACAGTTTAAAACATAATAATATCAACATTTACTCCTAAACTCACTATCAAGTGATTTTTGACAAGACTTTCTTATTGGTGTCTGTTGGGTTGCTGTACCAATCAAAAGCATGTTTAGAGGAAGCTTTTATATACCAAAATACTGAAAGTCACCAGATGATATATGTTCCTAACTCCTATTGTTGGCTTAACTGCTTCCTAGACGTAGGTGGAGTATATCAACATGAAATAAGTAAGTTTTTGTTTTGTTTTTAATAATGGCCAGCATAAAAACTTGAGTAACACAGTATAAGAAGCCCTTGTATTTCAATAACATTCCTTATTGTTATTTGTGAATACTAAAAAAAAAAATAATCAACATGTATCATGGAGTTAGTTATTTTTAGGGTTAACTTTGGATTGTTAAATTGGGTAATTATATACACCTACTGTCCTTATGAGGCCAAAAGCATTTATAAGGATGATCTGGATTTTTATTTTACAAATATCATTATAAGTTGTGTTGAAATGAGCTACACTCTATAAACAAGGACACCATCGAGAAGCATCACCCACCTTTGAATTAGAAGAAAAATTGTAATCTAGACTCACAATTCTGCCCTGGTTCTAGAGAAGGATACCAGTTTGTCACTCTGATAAATAGACAGTAACATTTGTCTTTTTAAATATAGCTCAATTGAAATAGAATTGCATCGCTTTGTCGTCTGCCCTTCCTCCTCTTAGCCATTCTCAAGAACTTTCCCTGAAACTCTTCCCATATCCACCCCCCAATTCTCAAGTTGATAGCCTCCTTTTCTTTTAGTATTATTGTTATGTGTATGCAAATATAGCCAGAAGATTTTCTGAATCCTGCCCAACAGTCATTGCAGCCACTTATAAAATAATCATTTAGAAGCTTAATAGTAATTATAATTGCTTGGCCAATGGCTCAGGCTTACTACTGGCTAGCTCTTACATATAAATCAATCCATTTCAAATAATCTTTGTATTGTCATGTGGCTTCATAACATTACCTGTTCTCTAGTATACTTTGCTACTCCAGCAACTCTGGCTTCTCCCTGGACCCATCACTTCTTCACCTGTGTCTCTGCTAGGATTTCCCCTGCTTGGATATCTCTGCTTGGATTCTGCCCTGCAATAGGCCAAAGCAGCTTTATTCATCAACCAATAAAAACAACGCATATTCACAGCATAAAGAAGGGCATCCTATATCACTTCTATGTCTGGGAGTGCTTGTGTGCACATGCATGTTGTATGTGTATGTGTGTGTAATATATAAATACAACCTGCTGAGTTAATTTTTGTTGTTCATATGCATATGGTTCAGGGATGCTATCTACATTGGGAAACTAATAAAGGGCCTCATCCCTGCATTGTGTCCAGTTGTAGTTTTCTGGGATGATCTCCATTTGCTACAAAGAGAGACTTCTTGGATGAGGTAACTACATATATCTGATAATTTGGAATTAGGAACTGTAGATGAGAAAGAATATTCAGAGTTTGTCTTTCTGGGTCAGAATTACCTCATTTAACATAATATTTTCTAGGTTCATCCATTCACCTACAAACTTCATAATTTCATTTTTTTCTCTACAGCTGAATAGTGGTTCATTGTGTATATTTACCACATTTTTATTGTCCATTCAGCCTTTTAAGAACATTTAGATTGTTACTTTTTAGATTTTTGTTGTTGTTTTGTTTGTTTGTTTGTTTGTTTGAGACAGGGTTTGTAGCTTTGGAGCCTGTCCTGGAACTTGCTCTTGCAGATCAGACTAGCCTTAAACTCACTGCCTCCTGAGTGCTGGGATTAAAGGTGTGTGCCACCAGCGCCTGGCACTTTTTACCTTTTTTGAGGACACTCTATATCTGTTTCCAGAGTACATGCACCAATTTGCATCCCTACCAACAGTGAGTGAGGAGTCCTCTTTCTCCACAACCTCACCAGCCTGTGATGTCAGTTGTTTTTTATCTTAGCCATTTGATTGGTGGAAGATGCTATCTCAGTGTTGCTTTAGTTTGCATTTCTGTAATTGATAAGAATAATGAACATTTTTAGAGGCATTTCGTTGCTATTTTTTTTCTTCTATTGAGAATTCTGTTTAGATCTCTATTTCATTTTTTAATTGGGTCACTTGTTTCCTTGACTCTTTGTTTTTTGAATTTCTTGTAAATTCTGCCTATCAGTCCTCTGTTGGGTATATAGCTGGCAAAGATCCTCTCCCGTTCTGTGGGCTTTCCGTATACTCACTGTTTCTTTAACTCTTTAGTTTAATGAGGTTCCACTTGTCAATTTCTGGCCTCAATTCCTGGCCAAATGGAGTCCTATTCAGGAAGTCCTTTCCGACTCCTACATTTTGTAAGACTCCATCTATGTTGTCTTCTAGCAGTTTTAGTGTCTCGGGTTTCAAATTGAGATCTGTGGTTCATTTGTCTCTAATTTTTACACAGGAGGATATATACGTGTCTAATTGTGTTCTTCTACACATGGAGATCCAGTGTTCTCATCATCCTTCGTTGATGTCTTTTCTCCAGCGTAGGTGTTTTACCTCTTTATCAAATATCAGAGGGCTTCAATAACAAGTACTCACATTTAGGTCTCCTATTTTATTGCATTAGTCTGCATGACTGCTGCTGTGCTAGTACCGTATTGTCTCTATTACCATAGCTCTGCATGTCTGTTGCTGTGTTAGTACCATATTATCTCTACTACTATAGCTCTACCACATATCTTGAAGTCTGGAATAGCATTCTCTCCTGCGTTCTGTTTTGCTCATGATTGCTTTGGCTATTTGTGGTGTTTTCTGGTTCCTTATGGATTTTAGATTGTTTTATTTGTTTCATTTTCCTCTTCCTGTGAATAATGTATGGGTATTTGATTGGGATTGCTCTGAATCCATACATTTCTTTTGGCATCATGGTAATTTTCATATTAATTCTACTAACCTATGAACATGAAATGTTTTTCCATTTCATGGTGTCTTTTTCTATCTTTCTCTTCAGGGAACTGAAGTTTTCATTGCAGAGGTCATTTGCCTCTTTGGTTAGGTTTATTCTAAGATTTTATTGTCTTTGCTGCTACAGTAGCATTGATTGTTTTTATACATAGGTACAATGCCAGTCTTTTTACAAATTTTAGCTAACTCCCCCATTGTTGAATATGTCTTACATAGAGAGAAGTCAGAGTGGCTTGTGTGAGGTTTCTAGGAAGCGGGGCCATAGAGGTAGAGTTCAAAGCCAAATGTCCATCTCCAGAGACTCACTCTTACCTTGGTCTGGTTCCCCACCTCTCCACCTTTCTGTAGCACCCCAAAAATATTGTCTTAACAACTGGTTGAATCTCTCCTCAATTTCAGTTTAATAGTTTTCTTCTTAGCAAAGGAGTAATAAAAATGATGAAAACGTACAGCTTTATCACAGAGAGTCCTCTAAGGTAGCAAGGACTTTAAAACTCAAAGCTGGCAATTAAGCAAGTGGGGACTTCACAGGAAGTGTTTATTTGTCCCCAGGGAGTCATTACATCCCTCCTCATTTAAGTG